TCTGTCTATACAGCTTAGAGAACTTTAGACAAATCTATGTGGGAATGTGCATTTCACCCACATTTACCTCATCACCACCACACTTTGTCATGTGTGTTGGGGAAATGCACTTGGAATCAGGTAAGGGACTTTTTTGTCAGGTGAGCTCCACAATGGTTCAGACCTCGCAGTCAGTGTGTGGCGCTGTGCATTGCAGCTGGCCAAAAGACAGACTGTGAGCCCTGGCTGTCAACATCTGCTCCAGAGACTGTACCATCTGCCCGAGGCCCCGGGGGGAGCATCTCTCCTCGTCTCAGACCAGCTGTGGAGCTCCAGACGTGGACCTGAGCAGTCTTGCAGAGGTGGAGAACACGGCCAAGACACAGTCAGAGGCGCTGAGTGCTGGAACATTTGTCACACACACTTAGCCATGTTTTATCTGTGGGGTGTGATCACAGTGAGGTTTAGACAAACAAAACTCCTGCATCAGTTCTTTCTTTCACTATGTAGTGGCAGATTACCACTACATACCAGTTTATTTTAAAGCTTTTGTTACTTCTTATTTGTAAATCTACACAGCAGTATGTCAGTAATTCAGATCATCTCCAGCTGAATCAGTATTTTTGTTTCAAAAACGTAATGTATTTACAGCTCTGTGTAAAAGTCTTCAGACACGCATATCTTTCTGTCTTTCTTTGGAAAATGGGAAATATATGCAGCAATTTCTTCAAAAGTGCAAACTCATTGAAATAAAGTATGAGGCAAAAACAGAGTTTTACGACTCTAACGAGATTTGAAAGTCAGTATTTGTTACGACCACATTTATTCTTCAGCACAACCTGAACTCTCTTAGATAAGCGTTCTTATCGTTAGTCTTCAGAAATAGTTCTCCAGGCTTCTTGAAGGGCATTCAAAGCTCTTCTTTGGATGTTGGCTGCCTTTTGTTCTGTTCCCACACTGCTCCATTAAGGAAGAGAAGCAGAGTGTAAAGGTTCAAGTATGCCGAATTGGACGAGAACTGAAATAAAAATCAGTGACATGAAGCCTTTTTGAATGATGAATCCAAATGTTACATTTTGTGGTGCAAATCACAATAAGGAGAATTTCAAGAAAAAGATATAACAGTGTGAGTGTCTGTAAAAACAGTAAAAACACACTGGAGAGAAAAACACACAGTGAAACATTACCAGTCATGGATTGGCCTCCTCAGAGCACAGACCTCAACATTAAGAATGACTTCTTGTCAGCAACCCTTCCACAGTGGATGGATCAACTGAAGGGCTAGATGGATCTGTCATGTCCTGTTAATACTGTTCATCATCTGTAGATATATTTTTTAGGCTTGCCACTTCTTCCTTTATTCTCTACTTGTCCAGTTTCCTCAAAATACAGCGGCTTGCAAAAGTATTCGGCCCCCTTGAACTTTTCCACATTTTGTCACATTACAGCCACAAACATGAATCAGTTTTATTGGACTTCCAGGTGAAAGACCAACACAAAGTGGTGCACACGTGAGAAGTGGAACGAAAATCAGACATGATTCCAAACATTTTATACAAATAAATAACTGCAAAGTGGGGTGTGCGTATTTATTCAGCCCCCTGAGTCAATGCTTTGTAGAACCAGCTTTTGCTGCAGTTCCAGCTGCCAGTCTTTTAGGGTCTGTCTCTACCAGCTTTGCACATCTACAGCCTGAAATCTTTGCACATTCTTCTTTGCAAAACAGCTCCAGCTCAGTCAGATTAGATGGGCAGCGTTTGTGAACAGCAGTTTTCAGATCTTGCCACAGATTCTCGATTGGATTTAGACACCAGACAGGTCAGGGATAAAGTTACTGAGACATTTAAAGCAGGCTTAGGCTACAAAAAGGTTTCCCAAGCCTTGAACATCCCACGGAGCACTGTTCAAGCCATCATTCAGAAATGGAAGGAGTATGGCACAACTGTAAACCTACCAAGACAAGGCCGTCCACCTAAACTCACAGGCCGAACAAGCAGAGCGCTGATCAGAAATGCAGCCAAGAGGCCCATGGTGACTCTGGACGAGCTGCAGAGATCTACAGCTCAGGTGGGGAATCTGTCCATAGGACAGCTATTAGTCGTGCACTGCACAAAGTTGGCCTTTATGGAAGAGTGGCAAGAAGAAAGCCATTGTTAACAGAAAACCATAAGAAGTCCTGTTTGCAGTTTGCCACAAGACATGTGGGGGACACAGCAAACATGTGGGGGACACAGCAAACATGTGGAAGAAGCTGCTCTGGTCAGATGAGACCAAAATGCAAAACACTATGTGTGAAAACTAACACTGCACATCACTCTGAACCATCCCCACTGTCAGATATGGTGGTGGCAGCATCATGCTCTGGGGGGGCTTCTCTTCAGCAGGGACAGGGAAGCTGGTCAGAGTTGATGGGACGATGGATGGAGCCAAATACAGGGCAATCTTGGAAGAAAACCTCTTGGAGTCTGCAAAAGACTTGAGACTGGGGCGGAGCTTCACCTTCCAGCAGGACAACGACCCTAAACATAAAGCCAGGGCAACAATGGGACGGTTTAAAACCAAACATATCCATGTGTTAGAACGGCCCAGTCAAAGTCCAGATCTAAATCCAATCGAGTATCTGTGGCAAGATGTGAAAACTGCTGTTCACAAACGCTGCCCATCTAATCTGACTGAGCTTTCACCTGGAATTCCAATAAAACTGATTCATGTTTGTGGCTGTAATGTGACAAAATGTGGAAAAGTTCAAGGGGGCCCAATACTTTTGCAAGCCGCTGTATTTTAAGAACACACTGCACACCATGCCCAAATATGCCAAGTTCTCTTTGGAAATTACCTTCTTGGTACACAAATACAATTTTATGCCTGTCAAACTGTGCTATCTTGGGTCTTTGATAAATTGCCTGTTATGTCTAAACAGAGCACTGGTCCATCTTTTTATTTTTTGCTTTTTTTAAGCTTGAATGATTCATAGGTGAGTGTTAAATAACTAAACTGAATTGAAAATGAGCAAAAAGGCAGCCAGAAAAACTTTGAAAGACTTTCAGAAAGTCCAGAGAATTATTGCTCAGGACTGCTTTAAAAATTAAGACAGTGTGGCTCTTTGAAAGGAGAAATGTAAACAAAGGGTGGCTCAAGACGTTTGCAGATAAGTCGGATTATGACTTTAAAGAGTCAAACTATAGTTTAACCCTGTAAAGCCTGAACCATGAAATAATAATCCCAGAAAATTCAAATCTTTCAAAACTGTGTTTATTGAGCACGTAAAAAAGAGAAATTGATTTTGATATTCTTTTTACCATTTTTGCGACATTTGGTATTTGTGCAATTTATCATTTTAAAAATATATTGTGGGATTTATTCAGATTTTTCAAGAGAAAAAAAATAATGCAAACATCTCAAAAACCCATGTATAAAACATGATACACTTGGTGTTAATGATACAGGAAAGTTATCATTTATATGGACTTTCAGAATTTGCTAGTTAATTTTTTGAAGAAGAAGAAAAAAACCACAGTAACTGCAACCAAGATCTGCTTGAAATAAGAAAAATCTGAACCCCAAACAAGTATTAGAGTTGGGAAGGTGTCCAACTTTATTTTTTCCACTAAGCAACAAAAATAAATATTGCCAACGCAACACAGTACTATTTATCTGGTCTAATAATACTGTATAGTCATCTCGCTGGGTTCTGAGCTTTTTAACTGTCTTTGCCTGAAATCCCTTTCAAAATAAAAGTCCACAAAGCTATTGTTAAGACCTTTTATTTCATCAATTTGAAAGAGACAAGTAAAAACAGTGTACAAAGTTTATATTATTGTTTACTAAAGCTGGTGTCCTCAGTCTCAGGAATACAGGAGGGCAGGTACAAAAAAAGAAAAAGAAATTGAAATTAAAAACAAAAGTACAAAATGAATTTCCCTATTTTCAGAAGGTGACAGCAAAGGGCGCGTGCATAGGAAAAAGTAAGATTCAAAAACCGAACAAAAGGTCTGCAAACGATTGAAGAGAAAACATAAAAACCATTACATTCAATAATGTATTATGCACTTTGAAGGAAAAAAAAAAAAAGAAGATTATCTGTCATCTTAAATATACTGAGGTGCTTTCGGAAACTGAGCATGCTTTTAAAAGAAGCCTGAGCCTTCTTTAAAAAGGAAGAAAAACAAAAACCAGACAAGCAAATCTGGTTTTATTTGCATTCACAAACATTTGAATCCATATTATAAAAAGAAGCAAATTTATTCTTTTCCGACCTTAAAGTACAAGTAAGAGTCCAAACGTAATCATTTGGGGGCAGAAAAAGTGCATGTCATTGGCACAGTACAACTTATTATAATCAATGCTGGTCTCATAAATAACTCAGAAGCTTGTGAAGGGATATAAGACCCCGAAAGGGGCGAATCAAAGATGACGGATCCCCTGAAGCCCTGTTTGTTTGCAAAGTATTCCTAAAAGACGTGTATTATGTTAAAGTGACCTCACTGAGGCTGCAGCGAATGCACTGGGTGGGGAAAACACCCAGTAGTGTACTGTACATGAAGGAAAAACCCAGAGGAGAGGATCAGAGACTCTGAGGAGGGTCGAAGCCAAGCGACCCTCACCAGAGGGAAACCAGGTGATGTTTGTGGCACAGCGTGGAGATAAAAAGGCATCAGGAACTATAAGCACTTACTTCAGGAGGAGGCTGCAGAGGCTATTTATTACCCTGAACAGGTAACCGGGGGTCTCCTCAATGACTCTGGCGTGCAAACAGCTACCAAAATAAGAAGAAAAAAAAAAAAGGATTCACTGCAGGCCAGTTTGTGCCTTAATGATTAATCGCGCTGCATTCTTTGCACATTTGCCTTTCCTCGCATCAGACTGCTTTTCACAATCCGTTCACCAGACTTACCATGATGTGGCGTGACAGTACAACACACTGACAAGAGTTGGTTTTTCAGCAGTAGGAAAGTGTTAAAGATCTTTTCCACATGATGGCATTTCAGTCTTAGGAGAATTAGCCATGTGTTACACACAAGTATGCAAGGATATTAACTTTATTTAATATGGTACATTCACTTATGAAGCAAAAAAAAAAAGTCTGAATGGACTAAAACATGGATTGATCACCCACTCAAACAATACTCTCTTCCCACATGATGTATTTGGTCCACAGTATGCCCATTTTCTAACTGACATGGTTATGGTGACATCAAATTGTGTTTAAAAAAAAAAAAAAAAATCTGATTTACAGCAGTAGCGCAAGTTGTGCATAGCTACATCTCCCCATTCATTACGGTGTATGGTTTCCTGCTCAGTATAGTAATAAACAACCAGGAAATGAACAGTAGTGTTATCTCCGTGGTCAGTCTTCAAAGGCCACACAGGTATGTCGTCTCGGATTTCCTTCTTCCTGGAAAAAGTAATTTGGAGATGGCGACTGTTGCATCCAAAGACAGCTTCTGCAGACGATTGTTGGGAGGACGAGGGTTTGGGCCCCCGGTCTTCTGAGAGTGCAGTCAGGTGGGGAGAAGCGAGATGGTCGGACCGGAGGAATGGTTGAAAGTCGTTTAGGCCGTCCCACTGGCAGAGTAGGAGAATTGGGGAAAGTGGGGTCTCCGTTCACTGTCAAAGGACTCCATGCTGTCATCTGTGAATGAAGGGAGAAATAAATGGTCACTTTTTTTCAGGAGAAAATATATATATATATGAAAGCTTACCAACTAGTACTTTCAATATCTAACAATACAATACATCCATTTTTTTTAAAATAACTGCCTGTCCATGTCAGGGTAATGGAGGCGTGTAAATTATACCAGCTCTGAAAAACATTTTCTACAGATATTCAAACGTCATTTTTTAGTAAGGACAGCAGAATGGACCAGTGGTTAGCTGTTGTCTCACAGCGAGAAGGTCCTGGGTTTAAATCCACCAACAGGCTGGGCCCTCTCGTGCAAAAACACGCATGGGTTGAATAATTCTAGGGTCCATAGGTATGAATAAAACTGACAGCGAGTCAACCTATCCAGAGTATACCACACCTTTTGTCCTATGGCACTATATGGTATATGCACATTTCTCACCTTCATTTCTTGTTTATGTTTCAATAAATAAAATGTATGCATTTCATTTTTCCAGTATCATAGCTAGGAACCCATAATCACTCCATTGCCATCAATATACTAGCTGTCAGAAGTGCATCTGAGAATTTCATGAGGCACAACGCTGTGTTTTAATGGCCCCGACTCTCCAGGAGAGGGCAGGCTGCTCTCAAGGGAGCTAGTTATGCCTGCAGGAAGGTTTCTGCACTCACATTTATGAGCCCTCCTCCACTAAATGAAGCATTAGCACATGGATAGAGTACAAGACTCTAGGGAAAAACCTCTGTGGGTGAATGACTTCCAACTCTTCAAAAAAATACAAGTATAACCTTTTTAAACAGGTGAAGGAACCAGATATCTGCTTTCATCTTTATCAATTTAAAAGTCATAATTGGTACCAAAGTCAAACGAGGTGGTCAGGCTCAAATGCAAGGTCACACAATTGCACAGTAAATGAACAGATTTGATTTAATCATATTTCACAGTAGAAAACTCTGTATGGGTGCCCAGAGTGTGCGTGTTTAACGCTACCTTGTCCCGGTGGCGTAATCGTGATGGTTTGTGCTGTGAACTCCTCATCGAAATATCTCGTGTCCGTCTCCGATGTAACTTGGGGCTTAAATGGTGGGACCAGCTGTTGTGGAGGAGAAGACACACAAAAGAATCAGTACATTAGAGCCTTCAATCAGTTTGGTACCATTTGCCAGTCTGATGACAATCCATGTCATGCCTAAATGGGTGGCGTCACTTTATTGACTTTCGAGATAGCAATAGCTGACCAAGTTTGGTGTTCTTACAGAGACGACAGTCAGAGGAAGCTTTACAGAAACACACCTTCTTCTCATAAACATCTTGCCATTCAATGCTGGCAAAGAACTTGTGCTGCATGATTTCCTTGGCGTCATCAGGTCCTCCACCTAACCTGCAAACAAGTACAAACAGATCAAACCCAGACGCATGATGACAACATTAATTATGTAGATAATTCCAACCATTTTATATCATAGTAGGAACGCATATTTCCTTGCACAAACTCTAAATAGAAAGGTTGTCACCTTTGCTTTGGGTCTTTCTTCAGAAGACCAGAGAGCAGGGAGCGTGCTTCGAGGCCGAGGGTCCGGGGGAAGCGGATGTCTTCCATGAGGATTTGCTCAAATAGCTTCTCGTGGTCTTGGTTGTAGAAAGGCAGTCTGCCACACATCATCTCGTACATCACCACACCCAGACCCCACCAGTCCACAGCACGGCCATAGTCATTGTCTTCCAACACCTGTGTTGGGGAGAAAGGTGAGCAAGATTTTATTTCATTTTTCGGATGTTCGAGTCATTTTAACTTCCTGTCGCAGATTTATGATGTGCTATTATCTTAGAAGTAGTCCTTACACAACTAATCAACCATAACTGGGTTAGGCATCAAAGGCTGTGAGAACTGCAGCTTTGTAAACCAAATACAATTACTGTAAGTAACTGGGCTGCCCCCGTACACCAACTCACTGCCACCCAACAAAAATCACCTGCTTTTCCCCCTGGTCTGGGCTTCTGAGGCAGCCCCAGCCAACACTGACTCACATCTCACATTAGGAGCAAGGATAGAGTTTCCCCCAGAGCCCTGCATATTTAATCACCACAGGGCCTTCCACACATACAGATCAGCAAGCAGCAGAGGTGTGGGTCGCTTATGTGTGGCACCAAACAGACAAGGGTCTTACAAACAAACCACTTCAATGAACGCAGCCAGAGTCTCAGAAAGAGAAATATTTAGTATTAGTCTTTCCATAAAGTGACTTTCTTGACAGTTCTTAATGAGACAAACTCCTCCAGTGTTGTGCTTAGTGAACAGCAAAACCTGTTGCATGACTAATGTGCTGCTGAGCGGAGTTGTTCCAAGGTCTCCGGGGACATGTACTGGATTCTACCTCACCAGGCGGATGTTGAAGGTGAAATCGAGACAAGGAGAACAGTCTGTTCTCTTAAACCTTCAGCAGTGTGATGCTAGGTAATTCCCACCCAAGAATAGAATCTTAAGTAAAAAGATGAGTGGATTAATAGAATTGGATATGGACGCAACCGTGTTGGACACAGAGGGTCCTGGAAAACAGATGGACGCATGTGTCCGTAAAAGGAACAAAACTACTTTGTATGTGCACGCGCAAGCCGAGTGCACGTGTCTGTGGGCAAACAGCCGGGTGCTGCGGTGAGCGGCGATCATCGAAGAGGACGGCTATGAGGACAGGGGCAGTAACGTGAAGCCGGTGCGGGGCTAGGATTACTGGGCCGTCTCTATTTCCAGCGCTGCTGTCGTGTGATTCACACCGTGCGACAGCTGGGCCTGCAGCTGCCCCATATATGTAGAAGAGCACCACAGCTGTGAAGCTGCCAGGAGCGCAGGAGCCAAGCTCATCCCTCATATACGTAACCAGGACTGTTTGCCTGCCTGCACCCCAGCCCCAAACTAATACTGTTACACGTCCCCAAAGGAGCAGAGATAGTGAGGAGAGAGAGGATAAAAAGCGCACACACTGCTGCTGCTTTGGAGCTCTGCTCTGTATACTGCACTTTTTCTGCTCAAAGCCATTAATTTTTTAAAGTGGTGACTCCAGATCAGTGTCAGTGGCTAGATTAAATCTGTTTACATTTTTCTTTGTAGCAGTTCCCTAAAAGCCAAATCCCAATAATAGTTTTCTATTACTTAATAAAAAGTGACTGAATGAGACTTTCCTACTCCTCACTGAAGAGAGAAACCGATCAGGCTTTTGCAGATCGGGTCTGTCCTCCACCCCCACCCCCTGCTCTGGGTGGAATATTCCCAGACGTTACAGCATTCCTGTGCAGCACACACAACAAGGTCATTGTTTACTGCAGAACAACCTGTAACACTGCCTGGCCCGCACTCCGCAGAGACGCTTGCCAGCGACCCCGTCGCCATGGCAACGCCCCCTGATGTCTCTCTGCTCTTGGTTGCCGAGGTTGGAGCTGTCATGGGCTATGCAACTCGGTGGTGGAGCGAAGTGGGTTAGGTTGAGCTTGGAACGGGCAGAAGTAATGTATGGAAAACGCACTTAAAGCTCAGACTTTTACCTGGTGCTGATGATTAGATGGGAGTTCCATCTGATTCGACAAGCAGCACAGGTACACGTTCCCGAGAGGCGCCCTGAAGCACTCTGTAATAGTGTCCTCACACACCAGCTCTGAGTCAGCCCAGGTCAGGTGAGGCACCCCAGGCAGCATCGGGGGCTGTGGCTCCCTTGGTGCCACACAACAGCTGTAGCCAATGTGGTCTGTCTGTCTGTCTTTCTTCTCTTTTCAGAGTGCGGAAGCTCACGTTTCCTGAAACGCTGCCAGCCACTTACCCTTCCTCCTCCCCCAACCAGAAAATTCCAAATGCAGACTAAAAACAACGATACAGCAACTGTGTCAACATGGACGCCTTCTCCTGGAAAACTTTTTTTCCCCTCTTCCCCTTAATGGCAGCAGGCAAGGGGCTCATGCAAACACACATGTACTTAGTGACACCAACCCACCCAACCACCACAAACATTCACAATGAATTCTCGTGTTACACAACCCACTCCAACACTTGTCATACCTGCACGCAACAAGGGTAGCCACACCCCTTGCCATATAACATGAGAGCAGGCTGCCCTACCCTGAGCACACGGCATACTCATTAACACAACCTTAACTGGAGATTAGAAAGGCATTTCAGGATAACAGCCCTTTTCTTCTACTAATGTTCAACACCACACACCATTCCTTTCTCTACAAATGTCACATGCACCACGACTAGCATTCAATCCTGGGCTCCAGCTCATCTTATTCAGTTCAATCAAATACAATCATTTTGTTTTTATTTACTTTAAAGCAAGGTAGAGAGCTCTTGGCTCAGCACATCTGAAAAATATCACCAATATACACACATATTTAAAATTAAAACAGAAACTTGAATAAAAGACCAAAGAAAACCAAGAAATGCAGATTCCTTCCTGTTCTTTCAGTTAGTGAAAGAACAGCTGGACGAGTAAATTAGTCACCAAATGTCAACCCAAGTGAACACCATTAGACGATGTGTTCACCACCATCCAACACACACCAGATTTCAAAGCTGTTTGCAGCTCTAAAGTGGCCTGACACCAAATTATTGCTTCAGCTTCCTTTAATTTGTCACTGAACTATAGAGAACTACAGAAAGTGGGCTTTTCTGCACACGCTAAGGTCACTTAAAGTCACCTGCAGGCTGAACCACTGTTGTGTTTTTACCTCAGGTGCAAGGTACTCTGGAGTCCCACAGAAGGTTTTCATAGTGGCGCCATCTTTGATCCCCTCCTTACACAGGCCGAAATCTGTGATCTTTATGTGTCCGTCTTTGTCCAGCATAAGATTTTCCAGCTGAGAAAAATTACTTCTTTGGTTAAACATCCCAAAAACGTGATGTTGATATAAATTATTAAATGATCAAACATATATTTATCTATCAGAAACAAGTCTTTTACAGGAATTTGTGGAAAAATAAAACATCAACTGGTGTCTGTAATTAATTAACTGAAAACTATTTAGTCATTAAACACCTTAGGCTGGAAGTAACTGCGTGTCATCCAAATAAGGCATCTCACGTGGAAGTAAATTACCAATTGCAACATTCACGGCCTTCTTCCTCCCCACTTCTTAGTCATTTGTGCTTTGTGGTGACATGTGATGGTAACTGATGGCTTACAAGAAAGTTTTTCCAGGTCAACCACGTGTGAGGGAAAGCAAAAAAAAAAAAAAAAATTGATCTCTACACTTTAAATGTTCTTTTCTCAGTTCGATACATAAATATTGTGAAAATGCTCATAAAAAGTGTGAATATGGAAAGGTACCTGGTGATACACATACGCAGGTAAACCTGACTGAAAAACATGCACTATGCAGTGTCATGACTTGAGGTTACATGGCCTTTTAATATCAGCATGTCCTCACCCTCCCCTCGCTGTCTCTCTCCCTCAGTTAAAGTCACCTGGCAGCTGTAGCTCACACGTGGCCAGCAGCGCCCGGCCAGAGTCAGCACATCCTCCAATCCTGCTACCCTGGCATTTTCAGGAGAACCCTAGCAGGCTGGGAGCCTGGCTCATAAACCCAAGGGAGAGAGGGAGGAAAGGGAGGGGGGGAGGTAGGGAGTGCTATGCTGACCTGGCTGGTATAGTTTTATCAGCTGGAAGTATTAGGGCTTCAGAAGCCCACTGCAACTGATAACCTCCCCAAAGCCTTAAACTCAAACATGCCTTATCAATTTGCAGCATCCATCTCCGATGTCATCTTCCCTCGCACACTTCTCTTTAGCTTTTAAACTCAAATGCAAAACAAGAAGCAGTTGGAAATCTCAAACTTCTTCATTCTGAGAAGATGTGTGGCTTTTTCCCCCTCCATTAAAGAAAACAGCTAACACAAAGAATGACGTCAATCTCACACACAGAGCGGTGATATCACCCACTGAGAACTTTGTGTGTACTATAATGACTGGTTGGTGGTGATCTGTTCAAAGGGGCCGTGGTAGTTATTTCTGTCTGGCTGCAGCAATGTACAGGCCGGACTTCCATCCAGCTGCAGTGAGGTCTGGAGTTTGATCTGGGGGAGGCAGATCAATAAGGCCTGGCCACTGCTCTAGATGGAGACAGATCCTATTTATATCCTGCCACGGGGAGGGAGAAAGAAAGTGAAGGGGAGGAGGGTGGAGAAAGGGAGGCTGACTACTAGGATGATAGGAAGTGAGGACACATTTCCCCGCCTACCTTGAGATCCCGATAAACCACGTTTCTTTCAGCATGCAGGTAGTCCAAAGCAGACACTATCTCTGCGCCGTAGAACCGCGCACGCTCCTCTGAAAACACCCGGTCTCTTGAAAGATGGAAGAAAAGCTGAGGGGATGTGGGAGAGATTGACAGGGACGCAGAGGACAAATAAGAGTGTTTTTCAGTCAAGAAGGAAGTGAGAAATGAACACACTCAACATCCAAAGTATTTACAGATGCACATTTAGCGATGATTAAACTAGTTTACCTCACCACCGTTTGCATACTCCATGACAAAGCACAGGCGGTCATGTGTTTGGAAGGAGTATTTCAGTCCCTGCAGATCAAAAAACAAAAACCTCAAAGCAGAACTTCATGTTTCAAACCAAGTCAAGCGGAAGCTGGCATTTAAACAGCTAATGGTAACATGAAATATCACAATACATGTTGCGGCTTTAGCTACATTTTCGAACATTTCGAAAGAAGAGGAGGAAAACCACAGCACAGACGATGTGTTGCCTTCACCCACCACTTAGATCTAAAATTTGGTACGAGCTTATCATTACAACCCACCTCAAAGCAAGGGTTAACTGATTAAAAAAAAAACAAACCCCACTCAACTCTAGCCTTTGTAAGCACAGCACTTCAAAACATTCCTGACAAAAAACTGCCTCTTTTTTCTGAATGGATGCTTCTGGGTTAGACTGAAGAGGTCTGAGGATCTGTGCGAGTTAAAATAAGGTTTGGGTATATGGAGGAGCTCCTTACTGTCAAGAACGGATGCTTTGAATTCTGGAGGACTCTGTTCTCTGTGAGTGTGTGCGCCACTTCATCCTGGAGACAAGAAAGAAGAAAAAAAAAAAAAAAAAGACAGCATTTGTGCAACTCTCTCAATCACTATTTAGGTATCAGGCATTGGTTTCCCCCAGACTCCCAGTGCATTTTCACCCCTTCACTTGCTCATTGGCAGCCACTCACTTTTGCTACGATCACCTCCTTCTTTAGGATCTTCATGGCATAGTAGCGTCCTGTGGCCTTCTCCTTTACCAGAATAACTTTGCCAAAAGTGCCTTTTCCCAGGAGTTTGAGGTATTCAAAGTCGTGCATAGTCTGCAAGGCAATGGGGGAGAATACAGCATCTGGTTACAAACAGGAGCATTAACGAACTCAGACTCTAAACAGGACACGCAATCCCACTGACAACAACGCTGAAGCATTTAAGCCACCATCTCACCCACAGAGCAATTTCCACTCCTCTAATGGTTTGACCTATATACGTGGTTGTGTCTCAGTTAACCTTTGACCCCCAGCTCTGGAGAGAATGTTGAAAATGGTTGTGCAGGGGACATCTAATCCAGTGACATTGGACCTTTAAGTCATGACACATGTGGGGGGAGGGGGGCATGTGTGAAACCTAGTGGGCATGCTATCTGGTGCCAAGCCACCCACAACTGATGTTGGGCCGAAGCTGTGCAAGTACAAATAAGCTGGGGAGGGTGAAGGAGGAGTAACTGTCAAATGAGGAGGGGACAAAAAAAAAAGCTGTACTAACAGCGAGGAGCAATCTCACTAGTTAAGAACGAGTGAGAGACATTTGTGAGGACATAACCGAACAAAGATACATTGAGTGTAAATGAGCTAGTACCACTTTGAGTCTGGGTTTGGTCAGGTAGACCTCCATGTCCATGGGGTCTGGGGAGGAGTCCATCATCTCCTCCTCTTGTTTCTGTAGGCCTTCAGCCACTGCCTGGATGGCTTTGGTCCATTCTTCCCTGAGGTAGACACAAGCAGCAGAGATTACAGCAGTCCGTTTGCCACCAAGCAACCCCAGCAGCCCAATCATGTAATTGTCTTCTTATCAACAGGAAGGCAATTTCAAGTGTGACCTCTGCCAAGAGCCAGTGCACAGGGTGAAGGTGTATAATGATGATTAAATATGTATGTTGGTTTACGCTTCTGCATGTTAGAAAAACTAAGCTCTTAAACTACTTTGTAGCATTCTGGGCCAAATCTTAGCATGCGGATGATTCGAGCTCAAGTGCTCTGTGAGCAGCGAGGGGTCTGCGTCTCACTTGCCTCTCCTCGGGGGTCTCCACGTGGAAGGTACGCTCGATGACAGTGGTCCACTGCAGGCAGCGGATGATGAATGTGTTGGGCTTGGGCCGTTCCGTCTTCATCAGCTGGCACTCTGACCACAGCCGGGGAGATGGAGACGAAGAGAAGGGCCAGTGTGTAGGAGAGCAGAGGGGAGAGACAGACCCGCAGTTATAGCCATTTATCTTTATCGCCGTCCTAACAGACAATCTCGGCCAATTTGGAAAAGAACAGGTGCACTTTGGTGGGAGAAAACAACTGATGCTTAAATCGTCAGTCCCTTTAAAAATAAAAATGCTTTGTATTAGTAGTGCTTTAAATCCGGCACATATTCCAATTCATTCCCTAACAGTTGTTCTAAAAAGCAACTCTTTACTAGTCATTTTCAGACTGTGATGAATCTGACAAAACACATGTTAAATTATTGGTCTGAATCATCGAGAAATCCCAAAACCCAAGGTCACATCTTGTTTTCTCAGAGCAGAACCTGAGATGATATCACATTTCCACTAAAATGAATCAGCTAAAGGAAACAGAACTTCAAACCAGGAAATGTTTAACTTGCCACGCTGGCACACACCCGGCTTAATCAGTCTTGTTCTTTAAGAATTTCATATCATGCACATCTTCACACCCTTCTTTTATTGCTTCTGCTGAAATTTTCCCACTTTTGGAGCAAATAATTGTCTTGTAAGCAGTTTGCAAAAACAATTACTCACAACAGTCTAATAACTGAATTTACAAAGCAGAGATTTCCATCTGCAGCTCCTTCGCAGTAACATCTGTTCCCAAATGAAACATGTCAGCAAATATGTCAGAACGTGACACAAAATGGCCTGCGTCTGATGGATGGAGGACTCTGAGTGGACCACCACTGAGATCCAACATGGCTCCATCAGGGTGAATATGTAATCCAGCTGCAGCGGCCCCGTCAGCAACGACGCACCATGTGTCCTCTGCGGTGGGGTCACAGTGGTGACAAAAGCAAAGCCAGCGCTGATGGAGACAGAACCTCCGAGAGGAGCCCAGATAAATACTTGAAATCAGGCGGCTAATGGCCACGATAACTCAAGAGTGTCGGAGAGGAAACATTTTGTTAAACAAACAGTATGCCGTCTAATTGCTGTGTTCAGTCATCTGCACAGCTTATCGCAGCAACTTTCTCTGATGTGAAGATCGAGTGAGTCGAGCTGCTCTGGGCATTTTTTTGTTTTTGTTATTATCTGTCACAATGCAAACAAAGTTTTGGGGACTGCACAGAGAGAAGAGAGCTGCCATCTGATGCATTAATGTAAGGAGTCAAAACATCTTGCGTGCACGTTCAGTGGCGGAGCTCTCTTTGCTCGGAGCGGTCCTCCTACTGAAAACCGCGCCGCCGTTCTATTAAGATGACAACACAGCAATTTCTCTTTCTATTCAAAGTCATTTAGAAAGCTGCCAGATGAGTAAACGGAGGGGTTACTTGTTCAAAAAGGTCTTCCACATTTTTCCTTATACACTGTCAAACTGTTATTAACTTCTTTTCAGTGCGAAGAAGTATAAAAAAACTTTTTGTTTTTTTAAATCATGCATGCAAGTTAAGAAGAGCAGCAAACAAAATAGGGGTGAAAACAAGCTGCCAAGAAACAAGGGAAAAAATGTGGTGGTTTCTCTGAAGCAGATACTCACGTGCTACAGAGAAGTTATTTAAGGGGGTTTCCAGCTGGTCAACATCTTGCGGTCGCTCTTTGTAGCCAATGAATGTACCATCACTCTTCAGGAGAAAATACCTTGGCCTCCAGGTCTTGATGTATTCTCCTGATAAGAGAAAAAGATTGAAAAGGAGGTAAAATTAAACAGCATGTGACCAACTCCTTTTTCTTCCCCCCCTCCGGTGTTGTCTGTTCAAACCTTACTTGCTTTTACAGCCTCGAAAGCTGAGGAATAAACACTGACATTGTGAATGCAACATAACATTTTAGTGATTTCTTTTCATATTAGTTGTCAGCGGTATAACGCATTATTAAATTAGCACTGAAAGCACTAGGGCCTTCTTTTAGCGAGACTCAAAAGTGCTGTTTTTAAAGCAGGAGTCAGGACTCCTTCCCTCCACGTGGTACATCCTCTTTTTCAACAGTCATTTCCAATGTAGATAGTCACAGGATATTCAAACAAAACAAAAAACCTTGTCCCAACTTGTCCCGAGTTTGAGGATCTAAGTCGACTAATTTCACCAGGAAGGAGACTAGATTTCCCACCCACCCAAATTCCACTGTAGCCATTTTTACACAAGAAATCAAACGAATACGAGGAGAATGAGGAATGGGACATGGTTTCAAGTGGCCTTTTCTCACTTATAGCACACAATGGAGGAATGTAAGCTTCAAACACACTCTTCCCATTGGAAATATTCTTGTTTGAGAGCGTGCAGGATTCACTTGCCCTCTCTGAATTGTGACAGTTAGTTGATCGTGTCATTCTTCCAACAGCACAGCAGGCACGGTAAAAATCTAACGTACGGGTAAAGCACCAGTATCATTTTAATCATACAATTAAAATTCTGTAAATCACGTAAGCAAATATCCTCAGGCTTCTTACACTTTCAGCAAAAACTGCCTTTCATTTAAGCAACTTAAAACTGTATTTGCATACATCTTTAACAAGTAGAATTTTTAACTTCACTTTAAAACATTTTAATCTGCAGTCCAGCTTAACATTTCCTACAGTTCTTAACTCTGTAACGGTGGATGCCAACGCTTCAATTTGATTTTCATACAAAACTTTCCACACTCCTCGGTTTTCTAGACAACAGCCTTAAACTCAAGCCAAGCATGTCCATCCCATTCACTTAGACACACTGGCATCACACAAATGAATCTCTCTTAGGCAGACGAAACTCCATTTATTCCGGTGATGCTTCAGGAAATGTTGCGCCAGATGTTGTGCAGACGGTGAAGATGGGGGGGGGGAATAAATAAATAAAAAAATAGCTTACATACCATAACAAGGCAGTGGCACACAGCGGAGTGGAACTTGAATATTTATACAGGAAAACTGTAATTTATTTTTAATTACGGAGCCGCATATTAACCCCATGCAGTGCCATACCAAGCTGTCCTTAATTGCCCCATTTCCTCCAACACAGAAGCGCGGCGTGCGCACGTGTGTGTGTGTGTAAGAAGTAAAAGATCTGTCCTATGAGCTTCTGTTATTCACACATACACACTTCTGAGTAATGAAACTGATAGCAGATTAGACAGTGCAGAGCAAACATCAGCTTGTAATATCTACTCTATTTAGTGCACATTGTACTAAAATATTTAAAGAAATCACATGAATTATTAAAACTGGTTGAGTGTCATTTTTCAAGATTTGTCACTTGTAATCTGTCAAAATCATCAACTTGCCCTTCCTGCTTCTCGTCTACATTTTTTCCCCTCCCCACAAAGCGACGACACGGGATGCCCTTCATAGCCTGCATACATAAAGCTGGACGGAGCCACTATGATAATAATATAATGCAGATTATAGAAGCCATGAGCTGGGAGTTCTGGCTGCTGAGGGACATTGTATGCTTTTTATTTAATAGGACTTTAGAGCAGCGATCGAGACATTAAAGTCATCAGGATGAGAGCGTGAGCTAACGGTAACTTTCTTTAGACTTCTATATAATCAGATTTGTTACTGCCACTGTGCAGGAATTGCAACCTGCCCATCAATAGAAAAGAAAAATGAAAATGTAGGTTTTAGCTAGAACTCAGTCGATACCAATATTCGGCATTTATGGAATTGGAATTTAAAAAGCTAATAGACTGGCTGATATTTTCCTCTTCTGCACACAACAAACATAAATGGATTTCCCTAACATAACATGTACTTAGCAGTTTGCACTAAGATAATCAGACAAAGCAGTTTAAAAATAATTTGTTTTCCTATCACAATAAGTTGTGGAACTCTTCACAGCTGAAGGGAGTTTCTCCCATTGCTTCTTTGCATGTTTCAAATCATTTTTATTCATTAAGCGCTATAAATGTTGATACCGACGGGATCTTAATGCATTCTGTATTTGCTTCGCTTTCAGATAACCGTCTAAGATTTTTTGGATCAGAAGAATGAAAAAGAGTGCTCGTTGGAAAGTTGGAAGTTATAGACTAGCATGTTTTATTAGCTCCATTTGGGATAGACTGTACAGGAAAATGAAATTGCAGTACGATGATGCAGATGTTTGTGTTACAGTTCTCGGTTTGTTAAACCTGAATCAAAACTTTTAAAAACAAACAAAAAAACAAAAACAAAAACCCAAACGAAACAAAAAACACCTGATTCACTGCTGGTGTGGTGGCACCAATCACCATACAAAAGGAAACAGCTGTCACTTGGCACAACAGAAGACATTAGTCTTCAATCCAGAGCAGATGTTTAATATGTTATTACATTTTTCTTTATTGTGCAAGGGGAGATTCTTCATCTCATTTGCTGCAGAGTAAGTGTTTTCACACCAAATAAAGCTCATTTAGAAATTAGCTCAACTTTGACAGGCGTCAGACTGCCGCCCTCACAGCTTTTCGACAAATCCACTTATACTAGATGTGCTGCCCCAAGTGAAATAAGCAGAATACAGTTTGCTGCAGCTCCCTCGTGACCGCTTTACACACAACTGCAGTGATAAGATTTTTCCAAATACAAACCACACCAATCAACTTTAACAATCAATCATCCAAATACACGCCGATCTCCTGGGACTCCACGTCCGTAGGGTTATTTATCACAAGCCTTTAAGAGCACCAGACTTCCTTACTTCAGCACAATGGAGCTTAGAGACTTGTTTAGCATAAAATCTAAATAATAAAAGCACAAAAGACGTGGCATTTAAGAGTACACATAGTCATTAAGTGTCAGCTGCGAGTTCGCTGGAGAGCCTGTTCAATACATAATTTGGACAAATCTGCAGCCAGAAAGTCTCCTGAGCCCTTCATACCGGTCCTTGTTTTTATCTGCTGGGCCCCAGCTGGTGCTCCACTCTGTGGTCAGGTTTTGGCTGACCCATATCTCCCAACTATAAACCCATGCCAACCAACACTGAGGACAGTATGTGCACAATGCAGAGGCAGCATAATGAGTCCCCTACCTGACACCGCGACACGTGATGAAGGCTCAACGTATATACTTGTCTCGCCAGCAGGGCCTAAAGTTTCAGTTTAGAAGTTTTCGTTTGGCAGCGGGAACGCAGGCAAATCATTTCCAGACTGTGTAATGTTCTTACGTAGATTCAGATCCTGATGGGCAGAAACAGGTGTTTGTGTGTACACATGATTGTGCTTGTCTGTAAATACATTTGTGTATGCATGGCGCCTTGTAGGCACTGAAAGGTATTTGTGTGCAACAGATTACAACAAACAGTCAGTTTGAAAGGCTTTCTTGCCAGATCCACTGACGCATGGCACACACTAGTAGTTGCATGGGTGGTCATACGTGACGCAGCAGCACGGCGAGGCATGACATGGCATGTACTGGGGGAAAATCTGACACACTGGTGTGGAAGACACAGCCAGCTAAGCATCCTTAGTCACCATTATCCCCATTCTGACAATGGCAATTGTGATATTAAGAGGGACTTGTTCCACACAAAAAGGTAAATAAGGTCTAACCCACTGTAATAACGCAGTCTACTGTAACTGGAAAGTTAAAGTCTTTTCTGCAGGGGCACTCATCTTTGATGCCACCTCTGCAAAGGTTAAGCAACCCCACATCTGCATTGCACATCCCTCAACTAGTGCATGCTCCTTCTAGACAGGAGGACACTGCAACTTCCTCGTCTGTGACCACAAGCTCGATCACATGACAACTGTGGAAATGGCTATATCCGGTTGTCTGCGAGCGGGCGTCTCCGCCGCATTGAGAGCGGGCGGGGGGGAGTGAAGGGGTTGCACTTGCAGTCTGCACTCTGAGCATAAACAACCAAGATGACCCTTGTCAGCTTCCTATTGACACACATTTCCCCTTCTGGTTTTATTCATTTGTACTTTCCACAGAGCGGCTTTTCTTAAGAACTGACAGAGTGAGAAAGTGAAAACTAATGCTGGGTTTTTTCCCCTTTTTTAAAATTGTATTGTCAAATATACAGTTACCGTTTAGAGTAAACATGGATACATTTATATGGTAATTATACACAGGGACTGTTATGCAGATGCAGAGAGGGAAAAAAAAAAAAATTCTTCTGCACTACTTAAATCCAGTGCTTTGCATACTAGACCCCAAATACATCCTGTGTACACGGAGAAAAAGCGCAGACTGCTGACAAAGGACAATAGGCCTCAGAACAACACAGGAGAGCCTTCTGCTTTTAACTCACTTCATCGTCACAGTGTTCCAGTAAACTAAAACCTTTTGATGTCAACATGTTCTCCAAAACAGGAAAGTGGCCAACAGACAGACTGACCACAACCTAGATAAGATAAAACCTGCTTCAAGTGTCTGGTTGACACACAGGCACACATGCATGCATGCATGCACGCACAAACACACACTTTGCTCTGAGGAAATCCACTGCATTAACAGTCCCAGTAAGCTTTTCTAATAAAAGCATGACAGCCGACATGTGGCTCGTCTCAACCAAATTAGGGGAAGGACAGAAGAATGGGAAGACTGATTTGACAAAAGATGAGCGATGAGAGTACTGGAGGGGATGAGAAAGCAGTGTGTGAGGAGTTGTGCTGAACGGCGTGGTAGTGAGACAGATCACTACATATGTTCCCCACATATGTAGGAGTGTGAGTGGGGGGTGGGGGGTGTGAACGCAAGTGAAGTGTGCATGAGCC